AATCAAACCCAATTGAAAATCATATCAAAGAATTCACATTTACACTAATGGGTATCAAATGGTTGAAATGATGAACTCGACTTGCATTAGAAATAGAAAAAGGAGGAAAATTTACATGGTATGGTAAACAAAATTGATAAGATCTATTCAGAAAAAGAGTAAATCAGGTAAACAAAGATGAAAAGTGAGTTCAGTACAGGCAAATTCTGCTCTGAACTGGGATGATCTGAAACCAATTCCAGAAATTGCAGAACTCAGAAGGATTAAAGAAACAAAGACAGCTTAAAATGTAGGTTTGGAATCGATTCTCTAAGAATGGAAATGTAGGAGACGAACCTTTTATAAATGCTGAATTTGTAAACGAGAGATCTTTGAGAATCAGATTCAGTTAGAAAACGACTGATTTATTGCTGAAGAATTTGTGTAAACGGAACAGCACGTCCAAAAACTTTAACAAATGATAGCATGGATAGAATTCTACGGTTCCGATTGTAAGTTGTCAGATGAGTCTGTTGACGATTCTCAAAACACAATAAGATGCAGAAATCATAATCTATGCCTTGAGAGAAAATAAACACATTCTTATTTGGGATTGACAGAGTTTTAATCCGAGGAGATTCACGATTGAACCCAGTTTCAGTTTAAGAAACAGGGGTTATTTGGTGGAATCAAATGACAAAATCCTACTAGTTTTGAGGTACATTGGGCTGGATCGGACGGACCAATTCTTTATATTTCAATTGGATTTTGAGCATGAAACGGCGGCACGGGCGACAATAGTCGGCGATCATTGCTCCATATTTGTGGGAGGGAATCATTCGGTTTCAATATCGACTAAAGTCGGTATTTTGATTCCTTATTGGACGATCAGTATTTTGATTCATCGTCCAATTTTGATGGTTATGATATGGGTATCTACAGCTTGGAAGATTTAGATGTGGTACCAGATTTTCGAATACCCTTCAACATGTTCCAAGCTTCATCCTGTACCACCATGGATTGTTCCAACCTCCAAATGACCGGAACTTCGGGTGGAATGATTTACCTCTAAATCTTAGCATTTAGGTAAAGTTAGTTGAAATTTTGAATTTTACCAATTATTTAAATATTTACACTTAATTTATGAATGATTGCTACATCTCCCAATGCATAATTAGATTCATTTCCTTCTCTTTTCCTTGTAATTACTCTTGTTTGGAAAAAATAAAAGTAGAACCCTCAAGAGTCCTTGATAATTAAAAAAGCATGACACGTAAAAATTGAAACTTCAAATATAAATGATTCACTTAAAATTTTAATATGTTTGAATTAATTGGTTAGAGTTTTAAATTTTATAAACAATTTCAACAATTCCATCACCCGATTCCCTCAAAATTGTAAACTGTAAAAAAAAAAAAAAAATGGCATGAAACAGTGCAGCATTAGTTTCTTGATTATAGATTTGTTGGATTATTTTAGCTTTTTTTTTAGAGTATGTTTGGATATTCCTGGTGGTGGAGTGCGTAAGTTAGGGATCATCAACTTCAGCATATTCTCCATTTTTCTATTTTCTTTTTTTTACTTTTAACCAACAAATTTGTTTTTTTATAAGGGTAATGATTAAGAAATTAATATGAATTAATTGTTAATAATTAAAAATTCGATCTTCAGACCAGGTGAACATTCTACCCTTCAAATGAGACGCGCAGCCATTAAATTATTTTTTAGTAGAGTTCACAATAATATTAGAGTTAAATTTTGACCACCTCACCCAAAAACTTAAAAGACTTGAGCTTGAATCACTTGCCCTACAAACCTGTTTCAACCGACAGAATTGATTTGAGTAGCTTTCGTTTTACTATTAATTTGGGAGTATTCTTGCGAAGAAATCGGAACCGAGTGTTGACGGAGTACACCAGCATGGGGTTGTTGTTTATTGGCCACAAACGAGCGTTACGGGCACGCAAAAAACTATGCTGTAATTATTTTGACCATTAAGAATAATTTACAATTGT